TTAGTCTGGGCCACTGCCAGGACAGACTGAAGAGATGGCAGCAGCTTCAAGGATTCCACACCGTGTAGAAGGCCATCAGAATAAAGCTTCTCCACAACAGGAGACCACTGGGACTTTTCAGTTCCTTTCCATTGGCAAGCTTCCAGAGGGTGGAAGCTGGGATAACATGGTGTGACCTCTAGGGAAATTTCCAAAATATACTTCTCAATGCTGATAGGAAGTGAACACAGACAAGCTTGTCTACCTGAGAGTCAGATGTAGGGATAATTATAAAGCACTCTGACCTAAGTCACACCTAAGCTCAATCATCACAGTATCTTAAATTATACTCCACTCATTTGGAGTAAGTGGCTCAAAAGCCATCGTAAAAATGTTCAAGGTGGAAACCATGGTACCTTTTATTCCTTTTCAATGTGAACAACTCCAATCTCAGACATAGAATGTTTTCCTTTGAAGTTTTCTTAAGTCTACACAGTGGATGTGAAAATGAAAATGAGTTATCATTGATGAATGAGTACAGGTTCCTTGAATTAGAAAAAGCAATGGTAAGGATTGCCTTTGGAATTTGATGACAAGTTTACAGAATAGAAAACCCACTCTGTTTTTCTTTTTAAATAAATAGCAAAAAAAGGCAAACACAGTAACTTTTAGACATGGTGTCACTGGTGAAAAGGCTTCTGTCTTGTTTCACATTTAATTTTTTGGGGGGGGGTTGTTTTGTTTTGTTTTGTTTTTGAGACACCGTTTCTCTGTGTAACTTGCCCTGGCCGTTCTAGAATTCTCTCTGTAATCTGTAGACTAGGCTGGCCTTGAACTCCTAGAGATCCACCTGTCTCTGCCTCCTGAGTGTTGAGATGTGTACTACCACCACCCGGCAACATTTAAATTTCTGATGTAAAGCCAGGCACAATAGCTCATGCCTGGAATTCTAGCATTTAGGAAGCTGGAGTTAGATGACCCCTGTGAGACCTAAGCCAGCCTGAGCCATACTATGAGTTCTGAAGCAGTCAACTACAGTCTGAGACCCTGGCTCAGAAAACAGACACAAGATAAATGACATAAAATTCGGACTTAAATCAATGAATTTTGACCACAAGTAAGCATCAATGAAATGTCTGCTGTTGAAGATACTGCAGTGTTCAGTGGACCCAGCAGCTGTCAGGTGTTCCGCAGAACAGAGAAGGCTGTCTACAGAGCTCACCTGCTAATGAGGGAAGTCCCAAATGCCAGTTCCGTTCAAACCCCAGATTGCATCTGTGTGAATCACCTAATGAGATCTTAGTCACAATGGGCAGAGATGACATGATGCAGAGGGTGCAGAGCCTGAGCACTGTCAAGGTGATGGGGAGTCTACTCAAGCACACATGCACTGTCTTCACAACAAAGGCAATAGAACTGAGAGAGGTACAGTTGTGCATGCCAGTAATTGCAGCTATTCCAGAGGCAGGAGGATTGCTCCAGCTCCAGATTCAGGGACAAAATGAGCAGTGTAGTGAAACCCCTCTTTCTTAGACTTTTTATTAAAAGGAGACAATATGAGCAAAAAGAAAGAAAAGAGAAAAGCCTGGAACTTTAATTTTAAAACAGCAATTTCTGTCTGTCCTGTCATTCATCTATTCATCTCCCTATGTCCCTATCTATCTCACTGTCTATCTCCCTATATCTATCTATCTATCTATCTATCTATCTATCTATCTATCTATCTATCTATCTATCTATCTATCTATCTATTCATTCATTCTTCTATAGGCTTTGATTTAAAATTCCTTCCAAATTCATGTGTAGACATTTACCCTCTTGTATCAGTAACAAGAAGTGGGGCCTTTGGGAAATTGCTATGAAAAACATGTCTACCACTTTATCTTGTCTCCTGTGCTGACACAGCAGGGGGGACACTGGCACAGGCTCTATCTTAGACATAGAGAAGGGGCCTTTGCCAGACACCATTGTGAGTGCCTTGAGGCTGACATTTCAGACCCCATACCGTGAGAATATACATTTCTCTTCTTTCTAAATCCCTCAGTCTCTAGCATTTAATTAGAGCAGCATAAGCTGATTAAGATACTGTCTATGTATCATTTATCCATCCACCTACCCACCTACCCACCCATCATCCACCCATCCATCCATCCATCTACCCACCCACTCATCATCTATCCATCCACCCACCCATCTACTCATCTATCTATCTATCTATCTATCTATCTATCTATCTATCTATCTATCTATCTATCTATCTATCTATCTATCTATCTATCTATCTATCTATCTATCTCTTTATCCCTTACTGACAAACCTAAGCCTCTTGTTTTTCACAGCATAATTGATTCTCTTCTGTATTCATCAACACCTCTGCAAGTACACTTCTTTGTGGATAGCTTTATACTTTTTTGTGTGTGTGTTCCTCTATTTATCGACAAAGTTTTAAAAACTTCACAAAAGACAAATTTCTCCCTAAAAAAAGTTTAAAGCTTTTTCTTAAACAAGATACTGAAAAATTTTTTTACATGACTTTATAAAAGCTATTTCTAAGATGTAGTAGACTATTATTTAATATGTGTCTATTGAGGGGGTAAGAGTAGAGATCAGTAGTACTTGGATTTTAAAGATTCATGTATCTTGTACTGAGACTACACATATATGCAGCACCTACTAAAACCTAGGTATGCCTAACTCTGGACACACAGATACTGTTGCTTCACCAATGTAAAAGCAAATCACTTGTTTTCTTATTGGGATAGTAACTTCTGTTATGAACAGGACCTACACAGACTTGAAGATTCAGACAGCTACTTTTCTACGAGACACAATGGCTGTCACTGAGTTTAGACCTTAGTGCACAGCTGAAAGGAAACCAGGTCCTTATCAACAGCTTTGTTCATTCTCATTCAGCAATGTCCAGGGCAATGCATTCTGCCCCCTAATGCCTCCGTGTTTTAACTTTTGATTGACTTTACAAGATTTAGCAAGGGTTACAGCTAGGAAGACATGGTAACCCTCAGGTCCCCTCTCCCCCCATTTATACATCCAATGTAGGCAAGCGGATTTATTGAGAAAAGGATCCTGAGAGCTGCAAACATAGCCCTAGCCCCCAGTTAACCAAAGGGAATCCCTTCCTAAAGAGGGTGTGTTAAATAGCAAATGCTCTGATGGTCAGGACTCAATTTGATATTCTTTTTTTAAATGAGGAAAGTAATAATACATTTCAGAGCCATGCTGACTGTATCTGAACTGGACATTGTCTGGTTTTAAAAAGTATCGCTAAATGAAAAAAAAAGCTAATTGAAAATTTTCAGATCCAGCGATATTGTATCTATATGTTTTTAAACTTTCTTACACACAGAAAAAAAACAAAAACAAAAAACCAACAGCTATAGGTGTAGCAGCTCATGTCTGGAATCTCAGTAGTCTCAGGACAGAGGCAGGAGGATTGCTACAAATCTGAGGTCAGCCTGAGTTACACAGTGAGGCCTAGGACAGCCAGGGCTGTATAGTGAGATTCTGTCTCACAAGACCAAGATGAAACAGAACAAAATTGGCCATAGTAACATGGTGATAGTTTTTGTGATAAGTGTTGCCCAATCTCCATGTCAGACCAGTTTGGCCTCCAGCCTGTGGTGCTTTATGGAGTGGTGGTGGAGCCTTTAAGTGGCCTAAAGGCCTAGAAGAAGGCAGCTACATCACTTACATCGTGCCCCAAAGGGAGATTGGCACCTTGGTCCCTCCCTGTTTGTCTGATGTGCTTTGTGACTGCCTGAAGCTGAACAACCTCCTCTGCCAAGTGCTACCACTCAAACTATTCACCAAAGGCCCAGCGCATTAACAACAAGTGACAATGGACTCAACTATGAAACTATCTGTCAAAGTAAAGCTTTTCCCTTATTGGGTTAATTATCTCAGGTATAGCAACGTGAGGTGGACTATACATGTGTATATCCAACCTTAGGTCTTTTATTTCTCTATTTAATTTTTTTTTTGAGATAGGGTTTCCTTGTGTGACAGTCTTGGCTGTCCTGGAACTCACTTTGTAGACCAGGCTGGCCTCAAACTCACAGAGATCTGCCTGCCCCTGCCTCCTGAGCGCTAGGATTAAAGGTATGCGCCACCATGCCCAGCTTCAATATGTATTACACCATTTGGGCTCACTTACTTGTGTTGGTCTGTCCTAGTTTCAGAAATTATTACCACTTAATGATGTAAGGACAGTGACAAGCATGCACACTATCTTCCAACAGCAGATAGCTGAGACCCAAGGCAACCCGGTAAAACATGAAGACTCACTGAGAACATTGCCTTATTCTGTTCCTGCAGCTTGAACATTTTCTCTGGTTTACAGGTGTCAATCTTTTCTACACATTAGCAGTTTGGCATAGGAAATGCTGAGAAAATGATTTTACAAAATATATTTTTTTTAATATTTGGAATGGAGAGTCCAGCTAGAGAAGACTACAGGAAAAGAAAATTATGCCAGAAGGAAGATCAATGTGACTGAGGTCAGGGCACACCCCAGAGAGGATGGGTGAGTGGTGTTTTCTGCGGAATTACCCAAAAGTCAGGAAGCACAGCGCTTCAAGGGTTACTAGACCCAATGGTACTATTGAAGATTACATCACACAAAGAGGATTTCCATCTGATTGGCAGGAAAGAAATGGAAACCTAGTACTTCATTCCCTTGAAGCGGCTCTTTCCTTCAGATCAAATTATTGATATGTGTAGAAAAGTCTCATTCTTGACTAAATATCATTTAATGGACAATAGATTATTTCCCATAAACCAATACATAAAACACTACTTTCAAAATCCCAGGAGCATTAGTTAATTAGTTCCCTCACTTAAAAGCTGTAATAGGCTTTTTTTTTTGGGGGGGGGTGTCAAAGGCAAACTAAGAAACATATTAGGTGGAATGTACTAATGAGAAAGAAATGATATATTATTTTAAGTGAAATTCAAGGTATTGTCACAGAATGTCCATGGTAAAGTAGCATCAACCTTGGCCTTACCCTTTAATTTCAAGGCTTCTAATACCTTTGAATCAGCAGTCACATCGCTCACCAGCTTGACTTCGATATTTTGAGATGTCAGTTGGAGCAATTTCTCAAAGAGTCGTTGACCCTGGGAAAAATATTCAGAGACAAAGGAAGAGAGAAACCTAAATGTTTGCCATTTTGAGTTGGTATAAATAAATCTTTTAAATTTTATGTATTCAGTTTGTAAAAGGCAAGGGCTTCAATGACAGATATTCACAGATGTGTGAAATTCTCTGAGTTTCATGACTGGAATAGAAACATGAACGTAGATGGCATTCTGTCTTTTCAAGCACCGTGTAATCCAGCAATCTGTAATAACAATTTTAATAATAGGATACAAATTTACTTCCCTTTTGCTTTTAAAGCTGTAGATATCTGCATGAAAGGAGGCAGTGAAAAATATTCAGTAGCCACAGTTTGGCACAGAAAAACCAACTGGTTTTCGGACTTAAAAACTGTGCTTTTTAATCTCACTGATCTCCTGTTCCTTCCTTGAAAATACAGACTATAATTACTTTAAAAAGTTTCTTATAAAATGTCAGCAGAGACATTTATGGTCACTGATACACTTCATCTTGTCTAAAACCTATTTCAATGAGTGGAACACATGGTCTCTATATATTATATATATAAAATATATATGTTATGTTATATAAATATTTATATAACAAATGTAAAATGCAGGCTTGCCTGGTAAAAGTCTTAGAAGCATATAATCTTTATAAGATTTATTTAAGGTAGATTGAGTGATGGTGGGTCCAGGCATGACCTTATCTCCAGGGATTACTCTGAAATAGTATAGTATTTGTTTTCCCTGTATGTTTAGATAGACACTTCTTATCTTAAAAAGAAACTGGTCTGTTGTTATTGAATTTTCATGTTTGTTTGTATGGACCTCAAACACAAATACCTTCAAAAGGGCCAGCCAGATAATAAGGCTTAGGTCTTAATGGGCCCCAAGTGCACCATTAAGCTTACCTTATCTTGATAAAAACCTTTGTTGGTAATGATTATTTATAAAGGATTTGGTGATTGGGAGGAGTTGATGAACCAAATGAGGATGCAAATAGGGATGCAAATGAGCATGCAAATCAGGATGCAAATGAGGACCCAAGCAGTGATTCCTGAAAAACCTCCTTATGGAGGAAAAGATCAAAGATTAAAAGTCTAACTAACACTCCAAGGAGCTGGTGTGACAGCTGACAGCAGAAACGGGTGTCTGGCACCTCTAGCCTGGAGCTGGCTGGCAGCCAAAGGTCCATATCCCTTGGGCTCTGGAGGCTACCCTTTGCCATGCAGCCTGTTAGTAGAGGTTAAGGTTGGCCAGTGTGGTGCTTACCTCAGACTCTCAAAGTTCTCAGTACCCCAGAGCCTGGGGGGTAACTTCACCCCTAGCACACAGTATGGGGAATGCATAATTGACAGATGCAAATGCCTCTTTTTTTGTTGTTGTTTTTTTTTTGTTTGTTTGTTTTGTTTTTCGAGACAGGGTTTCTCTGTGTAGTTTTGGTGCCTGTCCTGGACCTTGCTCTGTAGACCAAGCTGGCCTCGAACTCACAGAGACCCTCCTGGCTCTGCCTCCTGAGTGCTGAGATTAAAGGCGTGTGCCACCAACCGCCTGGCTCTGCAAATGCCTTTTAACAAGGCCTAAAAAGAAAGGAAAGTGGGGGAGGGTGACCTCTAGCTGCTGGTTTGTTGCTATTGTGAGGCTGTTGGTATGTGAGGCTATTTTTTTTTTCTTACAATTTATCTTTTGTGTTTATTTGTGTATGTGTGAGTGTGAGCCACTGTGCTACATGTATACAGGGGTTGGCGGAAGCTAGTGGAAGCTATCAGATGTCCTGGAGCTTAGTTACAGGTGGTTGTGAGCTGCCGGACATGGGTGCTGGGAACCAAACGGGACTCTAGAAGAGCAGCAAGTGTTCTTAACCACTGAGCCACCTCCCCGTTGCCCTTGGTGTGTGATTTTAAGTGAGGGCATAGGCAACAGGAAGCTTCATACACAATATGAGAGCACACTCATATTGTGGCGCTTACGGCTCTTTCTGTCCCACATAAGCAGCTCTGGCCCATGTTGTGCCTGCCACACACTGCTGAAGGTCTAGTGCCGTCTGCATGGTGCAGATTGCTACCCCACCCCTCACCCCGGTCAACATGGATTCACATGCGTTGGTTGTATTTCCCCCTTTCACACAAAAACCCACTTCGTGTCTTGGCAATATCCTATAGATAGTGGGCCAGTGGTTTTTTGTTTTTTTTTTCTCTTAAGTTAATTCTTTTAAAATTTTAGTTAACTAGCCAGGCAGTGGTGGCGCACACCTTTAATCCCAGCACTCGGGAGGCAGAGCCAGGCGGATCTCTGAGTTCGAGGCCAGCCTGGGCTACAGAATGAGTTACGGGAAAGGTGCAAAGCTACACAGAGAAACCCTGTCTTGAAAAACCAAAAAAAAAATTAGTTAACAAAACATATTTAGCACAAACAAAATAGAAGCTACCACCCGACTGTCTTCATTGTTGACCCTGTACCTTCAGCTTATTCCCCTTGAATTCTTTTGTGCAATTTGAACCAAAGACCAGAAATCTTTCACATGAATGAAAACAGAAAGTCTGAAACCTATAGATACAGGCTGGCTTCCATTAAATGAAGCTGCTTTCCCCCTTCAGTGTGTGGTGATGACTCATGCTGGGGAGTCTGATCAGTTCAACTGTAGCACTCACTATGATGAACTTGGGCTTGAAGAACCCAAGTACTTGGGCTTGAGTGAAACTTCTATTAAGTCATCTGTTTCTGACATGTTAAGTTCCTGCCCCAACATTTTTGTTATAATATTTAGGATGTACCAACTTTCTGGAAGTGTGTGTGTGTGTGTGTGTGTGTGTGTGTGTGTGTGTGTGTGTGTGTGTGTTGGGGGGATATACATGTGCCTATGATGGGGGTGCACATGTCTCTCTGTGTGTGTATGAAAACTCAAGGTCAGTTTGGGTTGTCGTTCTTCAGATACCAGTTACCTTGATTTTTTTAATTGTTTTTGAGACAGAGGCAAGGCGGGCTGGCCAGCAAGCACTGAAAATCCACCTATTTCTGTTTCCCCAGTGCTGGAAGCACAAGCACATGTCACTATGCTCAGCTGTAGTGGCTCTTCAGGAGAGGAGCAGGATTTCTATATTCTGTGGGGAGATCATTCCCCACTGCACCCCAACTCCCAGTATCACCCGACTCCCCTGAGCAGTCAGGATACCTTTCCCTCCAGAGCTGAGATGTCCTATCAGCTCCAGCTGCCAGAGCTGTCCTAGCAGCTCAAGGTGTTGCCTGACTCACCCGAGCAATCAGGATACCTTTCCCCCAGAGTTGCAACACTGGCTTACAGAGTGGGTGTTGTTTTCAATGTCTCATTACCTCCAGCAAGTGGTTTTAGACCTGGTCACCACATTTTGCTCACATGTACACACCTTGTTCTGAGTCAGGGGCATGAATGGGTCACAAAGGAAAAGTAAAGCACTGCTATAAAAGTAAACCCACAGGTTGTGCATTCAGCTGAGCCTGTAGGAGTTAATTACAGTGGAAGTCCACAACGTAGTAGGGCTGATTACAATGTTTTTCTTAGATGTCAGTTAACTCTGAACAGGTCACCCACAGACTATGTAAGCAGAATGAGTACATAGTCATAAGTAATCTCGAAGTGTATTATTAACTTGGTTATAGGTTGGGTGAAAGGTAGATGTTTTAAACAGAATTTCTCAGAAAATCCAATCCCACAGCGGCAGAGTTAGAGTCTGGGGGTCAAAGGCACCTGATGGGTGTTTTTCACTTTACTCACAGGATCCAAAGTTGTTTGTTCTCCAAGAAGCAAGGAAGGCACCAAGGCAACACCCCCAGGTCTAGGACTGAGAGGAAGGAGTTGATGGGAAGCTGGTCTCCATTGGCCCCAATACAGTACCAGTAAATCCCTCCAATTTACCTTCCTATACCTGGGAGGAAAGGGCTACCAACATTTTGATAAAGAGGAGTATCAGTACATTTAAGTGGATCCAGCAAAAAGGCACGAATGCTTGAGCATCACCGTGGCTTGAGTATTGAGTGTCCTCCAGAGTCTCATGTGTTACTGTTCAGGTCTCCCACAGGGGGAGAGGGATACATGAGGAGGTGGAGACTAGCGAGAGATCTTCAGATCTCTGTGATGTGCCTTGAAGGGAAGGGGAAGACAGTCTTTTCCCTTTTTCTTTCCACTGTCCATCCAACAGATGAGTAGTATTGATCTGCCTAAAGCTTCTAGACAGTAGAGCCAATGGACCCTGGATTACACTTGGCAACACTGTGAGTCAAAATAAATATCTGGTCTTTATAAATTTACTCTCACAGATATTCATCCAAAGGATGGGACGTTGACTGACACAAACATAATGATGCAAAAGCCGGAAGCCAGGACCAGATACAGTGGGAGTTCTCCAAGTTGGTGAGATGTGGTTGGGATGGATGGAAACTAAGCACTAACTTAGATGAGTAATCAAGGGATGCCACAGCCATGGTTCAGGCTCAAGCTAGCGGCCTGAGGAGAAAGTGTTGGAAGTACTTCCAAGAATCTATGTGCATGCATGTACACATGTACATGAATGTGTGTATGTTCATACATATGTATACACATATGCACACACAAACAGCAGGAGGATAATCCGGTAGGCAGAGGGAATATTCAGCTAATCAATGCATTGGAAGAAATGAGAAGCAGACGAACTAAGTCTGAAGAAATAGAAAAACAAAACTATCCAATTTAGGAAAGACATAAACCTAAGAAAAGCTGAAACACATTGGATGGTAGAGAAGTGACTGGATCTCTCTGTAAAACAGCTGGACATCAAAGACTGAAATTTTTACATGCCTCTGGCCAAGGGCAAGAATAAAGTGACTCAGAAAGGAATCTGAGTGGCAAGGAACCAGCCGGCCGCTGCACTGAGTTCCTTCCAGTGGACCAATGACAGCCAAGAATCCTGTGCCTGTGCAAGAACTTTACACGTGGGGCTGAAAGAGAGACATATTTGCAGGTATGTAGAGATTTAGCAACTATCCTGTGTTGGGGGTTATTCGAT